TCATAAAACTGTTCATAAAAATTGGGAAGGTAAAAGTAAAAGTACTTTTACACACTCTCTAAGAAATAAACTGTTGAAGTTACTGAACCAAACTGGTTCCATAAGCCAGGTTGAGTAAACTGAGCGATATATGTATTTTCTTTGCTCAGTTTATTCATCTACGCTTAGTGGAGCCAGCTGACATGACTTTGTTGAGTAAATGCAACACTTCGTTTTTTAGAGTGCWGAAACAACTCCACTTTCACGATGAGTTCCAACATATTTAATTTTGTAACGAGTGGTAAATTTTAAAATAAAGAAGTAAAAGTATCCTTTTTAGCTTTAAAATGTAACAAAATAAAAGTAAAAGTAGCTATTTAAAAAAATAATTGTTGAAATTACAATTCCTCAACAAAACTACTAAGTACTGTAACAAAGTAAATGTACTTACTGGTAGTTACTGTATACCTCTGCCTGAACAGAAAGCAGCCTTTTTTTCATTTAAACAGATTTTCAGTTGTTTCAAAACCCATGGTTTGTTATTTGGGAATAATTTAACAGTTTTTGTTTGGCACACAGTTTTCACAGAAATGAATATGTAATGTTATAGTGTCTTTATGTTAATTTCCATCCAGACAGGATTTGAAGAAAACMTCCCAGTTTGTGTTGTCAAAACAGTCTCTGGGTTGTTCTTTGTTTTTGCCAAACCAGACTTGTATCTGTTGGATAATTGGTTTGGTCCTTTAAACCACAACTTTGTATTTAGGCAGACGATGTATTACACTGTGATCAGATTTCCTGAGGTGGGGGTCTGCACACTGATTTATACACATCAGGAGTGCCAATCGTTCAGTCTAGACGTGGGACAGTCAATACGTTGTTGCATGGTTGCCAGGTATAGATTAGTTACAAGAATTAAAATCCATGAAAATAGAAACAAGCTGTTCTGCAGAACGAACAAGTGCAGCTCTCTGCCATTCTCTCTACCGCTTCATCATTATTTGGTTTGGGCACACAGACACAAATAATAATAATCTGACCAAATTCCCTCAGGAGATAAAAGGACCTGAAAGATAATGTTATTATTTCATATTCTGGTGTGTACACTTGCTCATGAATATAATGTTGTGAGGCCCAGCCAACAAACAATAGATAGTCCCCTTCCAATAGATGAGTTATTTCTGTCCGCTCTTWTGGTGGKACACCCAGTCAAGCTCGGAGTTTCWTGATGATCTTTAAGCCATGTTACTGTCAGATACACAAGGTTGCTCTGTTTAAATTCAGTCATTTCTTCGGTCTGCTCTTAGCAGCACCTCATCACGTTTGTTGCTTGGTCAGAGTAGTGGCAAGCACTGTCTGCCGCGGCGTCTCCATAACCGATGCCTCAAACCTCCTCTTGAGCCTCACCTTTTTTTCAGGCTTTCTTCCTCCTTTCTGGACACTTACCAGGCCATCGGATTTCCAAGCAGTCGACAGGTAGAGGAGGTGATGGAGCCCCGTTAGCCAAGCACAGGGACAGCAGGTGTTCACAGGTGTAGGTGAAGTGATGTTGGCGGCCTACCAAGCAGCTCCAGGTTACAGACGCGGCAAAAGAAGTGTCCAGAAAAGTATCCATAAAAATGTGATTTCAGTGGCAATCAATGCAAAATATAGACTATTTTTGAAAACAATAAACATGCACATTAAACCTGGAACAGGCTTAAGAGAGAGGCATTTAAATGTATATTGTAAAGTTTTAAAAAAAACGCACAAACAGGCGGTGAGCACAGGGTCATTGGCTGGCCACGCCCCCAACATATTCAAAGATGACTGTCATCGCCATTCTTTTTGTACTTTTGAAAAATGCTGTGCCGCTAACATACTCTGTGACACTGACCTCTCCACAGCATGGAGACACTCCATCGTTACAGTTAATATAATAAAACTGGTTGTCTTATTACTGATCCCTCTGGTTGGCTTCACACTGTACGTGATGATGAGGTAAAAATATATATTTATTAAAAAAGTTCTACTCCCACGTATGTATTCTTGTCACCTGTTTTTGACTTGTCCCTTGACTCGTTCTTGTCCCTCAACACAAAACCCTCAAGAAGAAAACCTGTGACTGTCAGTACTGAGATGAAGGATCGAGCTGAGCAGGTGGGTAGAAGACATTAACACAAAATTACAATTTGCTCGTCTTGTCGTTATTGGTTCACACGTATCCTTTTTCCTTCAGGTGGACCCACTGAGTGAGAGAGTCCTACTCAGGGTCAGAAATCCTCCAACAGTGGGAGAACAAGACCAGGAGCAGGAGGCTGCTCTGTAATGTCAGCTGGTTTCGTTGAATATTTAGGCAAAGCCGCAAACCTCATAGGAACTGAGATAAACATATTTTCTTTTGATATCTTCTTCCTGCCTTGGTGTGGGTGTAATATCATATCTGTAAATAAGAACATCCCCTTCTGAAGGCAGCTGATGGTTGTATGAGATTCAAATCTATAAATTGCTGTTTAAAGTTAGGAGATAAAGGCATAAAAATAAAGTTTGACTAATAATTACTTTCAAGTTGCACACTAAAAACTGCAGGGTTATTTTTGATAACTTGATTTAACTTTAACTTCAGGTTCCTAAAATAACATTAGTTGGTGCTAGCTTTTTTTTTCTTTTTGGCTGTTCCCTTGAAGGGAATTCATGATCAATAAATGGAAGTTTCTCTTCCTGGTTACACCCCTGAAGGCGTTACCTTTTACGTCAGGTGTTAGAACCTAACCAACAGAAAGAACCCATCGATAAGACGCACAAGYTCTCATTCATTGTCTTAAAACTCATGGCTGCAATGATCATATTTGAAAATACAATACCTGATCTACTCAGTCACAGTTACAAACTTTCCTTCACCCTCTTCAGGGGTTGCTCCTCCATCTCACTCTGTCCTCTGCATCCTCTGTCGGTCTCTAAACGTTATGTTCCCTCTAACATCCACACAGATTATCTTCACTTTGACTTTTTTTTTCATGCAACTGCATCTATTTCATCCTTCTACCAACATACCCACTGTCCCTCCTCTGGACATGTCCAAACCATCTCAGTCTGGCCTCTCTAACTTTATCTCCCAGTTGTTCAACTTGTTCTGTACCTCTGATTTTATCCCTAATCTTATTCATCCTCGTCACTCCAAATGAGAAGCTCAACATCTTCAGCTCTGCCTTCCTGTTTTTTTTTAATGTYATAGTCAACCGTACAACACACCTGGTCTCACTGCGCTCTCGTAAACCTTAATTTAGCTTCTGCTCCATCCACTCCAACCTGCCTAGACTTTCTTCCTCGTCATTACCACACCCCCCGTTTTTCTGGACGGTCGACCCTGAGTGTTTGAAGTCCTTCACCTTTKTGACCTCTGCTTCTTGTGACCTCACTGTTTCAATCATGCCTCCCTCTCATTCACACATGTACTCCGTCTTGACACGGCTGGCTTTCATTCCTCTTCTTTCAAGTTGTTTGCACCTGTTCCCTGTTCTCACCACAGATCACAATATCACCTGCAAATATCATAGTCCTACCTGACCACGTCTGTTACTCTGTCCATCATCGGAGCAAACAAGGAGGGGCTCAGAGTCAGTCCTTGATGCAGTCCCACCTCCACCTTGAAACTATACATGAATCGTACAGCACATCTCACCACTGTCCTGCTGGTCTCATACGTGTCTTTTACCAGTATCACATACTTCTCTGACTCTTCCTCACACCACCACTGAGTTCAAAGTTGATCCATCGCTAAGTGACTTATGTTGTTTTTCACCTAGCATTCTTCAGTGTTTACAATTAAGGTTATTCTTGATTAATATTTTACATTTTAGCTGTATGTTTATTGAATTAATACAAAATACTTAGTTTGTAACCTTGTCTTGTATATTATCCTTGCATTTAAGTCATCCTGTTGAATAAAATAATGATTCAATGTCATTTTCATAGTTCCTTATTGTTGCTTCTCTCTTTTTATAATTTCTCAGAACATTTCTAAATATCAATCAGATATTTAAAAACTGGAACTCACTCAGCTAAGGGTCAAAGGTCCCACCTTGAAGGATCAGATCACAGCAGAATAAACATGTTTAAACTCACAAATTTGTATTATTTTAGCAATGGCTTTTGTAAAAGGGAAYGCTAAAAGGGAAAAGGGAAATGAAAAATGAATATATTTTCAGATTTTTTTTYCCCCCAGGCATGTTAAAAGGATGTGAGGATGAGCATCAGCTAAAACTCACATGGAAATTTTTATTCCAAACACGTAAGCAAAGCACAAGCACAAGATGTACCATGCAAAAAAATGTTTTACTGAATAACTACAAAGGTGGGATTTATTGTATTTTGATCCATAAAGTGCAATACACTGGTGAGCAGAAGATATTTGACTTTGCCTGAAGATTATATATTCAAAATACACTATAGTTTATATATTTTGGCATCATGTTTACAGACTATGGGTCTGAGGAGAAAATGAAGGAAACTATTTCTATTCTATTCTATTCTATTCTGTTTTTTAAAGATTAAATACATTAGGAGGCCCCAATGATCACGTGGCTTTCACTCACACGTGTTGTGCCGAAATAAGTGCCCCTGTAGTGCCTGCACCCATAGGCACACTCCCATAAAAAAGGCCTGAATAAAAACACGTCTATCTGTTGTTAGATTCTTTTTATAAACAAAATCTCTAAATAATAGTCTTCAATATACATTTATTTAATACTATATTCAAGAGATCGGTATTACTAAATGGTAAATTTGTAATTTAGTGACTGACAGGTTTTTCTTGAAATAGAAAKGAGGGCATTACGAACCCCACAAAAATTGTTAAAAATCCAGTGTGGAGTCATGAAGAACGAGCGTAGTGGTAGATACATGTCTCCTTAAATGTATTTAAAGCACAAAATAATTTGTCACGTTGACCTTTTGCTAAAAGGCAAAACAAAAATTTTGAAAAACGACTTCCGGTACTGATGGTGTTTTGAACGACAGGGGAACATTTTTCGATACAACACCCGAGGGTTCTGCAGTCATAAAAACCCGTGTGGTCTTTGCTCACAGCTTCTTCCTTTCCTCCAAGCTAGTTACTAAACATCTCACGATAGTATTATGGACAGCAGAGGCTTTGGTTCCGGTGAGTATATTTGTTATTTGTTTTTTTTCTCCCATTTAGTGTCTTTTAAAAATCAATTTCAGCACGTCGTTGCGGTACAGTGAAAGAGGCCTCATTTGTTAGCCTTTAGCGCTAATCATGCTAACACGCTTTTTTATGTTGTTGCTTAATAGCAAAAGCACTTGAGTTAGCCGACTTGAAGCTTAAAACAAAGAAGCTAAAGCTAGTAAAATATCTATTCGAAGTGCATTTTATACCAGTATTGTAGTAAAAATCATGCAAATTTATTTTAAAAAATGAAGAGCTGCGTGTTCTAGGCCCGGCGAGRCTTGTGTGCCTAGATGTTGTACCTGGATCCGCTTTCCTAACCCTGTTGTTTCGTTTATTTTTTTTTATTAGTTTTAATATTGTTATTGTTACTATTGAAGAAAACGCCTTTCTTAGTGTTTTGATGAAGTTACTAGGCCAATTTGTTGAAACGGAGCTGTGTTTTAGAAAAGCAAAGTTCAAAGCAACGTCGACAAAATGGCCGCCTCACTTCAGTGCAATAAAATGCTTTCTTTTTTTTTAAATTTACATCACTAGTTGAGTTTTGGATCAAAATCGGTGCAGATAAGTAATTTAGGATGCGTTGAAATAAGCAAATTAGTATATTTAAAATTAAGCTTTATATAAGGTGTAGTGTAATTTTAGTGCCAAATTAATTATTAAAATTGGTTCTCTGTTTCCTGATACCCTTTTTTCCCTCCAGGTTACTCCAGTTGGGGTGGTGGTGGAGGAGGTGGAAGTGGCAGCAGGGGTGAGAAAAATAGTAAATAAGTAACGGAGCATGGACATTTTGCTACTAATGAACATCCAATTAGCTTCACAAATGTGCATACATAGGGCTGCATCTAACAGCTCTTTGTATTTCATCCAGTTCTTCAGTCCAGATGATGTTTCCTTTAAAAATACTATTTAGCTATTTTATTTTAGTTCACTTTATCTTGAACAGTCAACTTCGAAATTTACTGTTTCCCAAAATAAAGTGTAAACTAAGACCTACAAAATGTAAGCTTAAGTTTATGTGTCATGCTGTCTGAATGCTGTTTGTAAGAACTGATATAAATCGTGGTGTAATTCAGTCACATCTCTTTGCTTATCAGAAGCAAGAGAAACAAATTCAACGTAACTTCTTGAATATGTAACAATGAAGATGCTCTTCTGTTGTGTACGCCTTTAGAAGAACTTGAATTTTGTGTTTTTTTTTTTTTTTTTTTTTGTGTACAAACTAATACTTTTGACCCGTATGGTGGAGGTTATAAGTCCTCTGGGCTTGGGGGCTATGGAGGAGGGGGCCAAATGAAGCGAGGACTCTCAGGAGCATCTCTGCTCTCATCCACAGATGCACACGCGGACGCCGTCATTGCTAAGATTAATCAGCGTTTAGATATGCTCTCCCAGATGGAAGGGGGGCTTCTTCGGGGTGAAAGGTAATATTATTTCATTGTTTTCACTGGAAACTATCAGTTAGATCCACTTTCCCACATCCACATGAGTAAACACAATTAAGTTCTTCTGTTTTATTATTTTTTTAAGCAGTGCACTTGTATTGTGGCATTTGAAACTAGAACATGGTTTCTAAATTTAGTCATTTCTGAATCGTATTTAACAAGCTGAATTTGATCCATTTAGACTGTTAATCTAGTAGCATTTATTTTCTATAGTGTAATTGGCATGTAAAGCTCATGTTTTATTTATTACAACCTAAAGTTATGCTTCTGTGAACTGGACGAACTGATTTAATCTTAAAGTGGTGAAGATGCATCAGTGCATCACTTTGAAGCCTGACAAGTTGTGGGTCAACATGGTCTGCATGTGATGAAGCTCTAAGCTTGTTTTTTTTTATTTGAGAGACGGAAACAATATTGTTTCTTTGAAACCCTAGATGTTCTGTTAAGGCGTCGTCTCTTGGCGTTAACGGGGTGAACTGCTTTTCACTTACAACACATCCTTGCATATGAAGCCTGTCCATCATTTAGGGAGCGCTCCTCAAACATCGTTTGTCTTGTGTTTGCACACTTTGTTTTTCCCTCATCCTCCATGTGACCTAACCTGTGTTCTGGCTTTAGGTTACACAAGAGAGATGGGTTTACAGGTGCTGGCCTGTTTATTACATCATAAACATGAAATGTTTATTGACAGACTTTTGGCTTATTTATGTTAAACACTGCTTTCAGTTAATATTGTGTTTTTATATATAGTGCCCATTTTTGTTATGTTTTAACTAAGTTACATCCCAAGATATTTTACCACTTACACTTGTCTTAAGACGTTGCCGTTTCTGCTGGACCATGTACTTGTTTGTTCAAGGTTTCCCAGCCTCTCCTTTAACAAGGAACGACTATCTTAAAATGGCATTTTTTTAATCTGCAAAAGATTCTGTAAAGAACATAATCACAATATATTATTGTAGAAAACCTCTGATATAAAATCATGTTCTTTTAGATCATCAATGTTTGATCTAATCTGTTGATGAAATAAAAATGGGAGTGACAAGAAATTTGAGAAAGCAAGAAGATGGAGGAGAAGGAAAATCAGGTGGAGAAATCCAAACCTGACTGCCCCCCCTGCCTCTTTTGCTTTCTTTTCTTATCTATCAACCCTCTTCCTCCCTCCCTCCTGCAGGTTTGACCAGTACGAGTCATTCGACTCGCGCATCTCTGCTCTCTCCTCCCGAGATCTCTACAGATCTGGCGGTGATAGCTATGGTTTTGGGGATGACCATGGGGACAGCATGCTGCTGAGTCAGCGAGGAGGCTCAGGCTTCGGAGGGGGAATTGGGCTAGGGGGAGGGGGAGGCTTTGACGGCCCCTCCTCTTCCTATGGAGTCGCAAAAATGCGACAGAATATGAGGGAGTCCTTCGCCAGTGGCCAGGGAGGCGGTTCTGGAGGCGGAGGCTGGGCTGGAGCAAGCCGACGACCCCCCAGAAGGGGTGGAAGTGCTGTGGGTCGAGGAGCTGGAGGAGGGTTTGGAAGCCGCAGGCCTGACCCCGCTCCATTAGGTGGAGGCTTGCGGGGAGCTGGTAGCGGTGGCCCGTCCCACCGTGGCCGCTCTCCAGGAGGTGGTAGAGGCAAGCTCCCATCCCTCCTGTCCAACCGTGTGTACCCTGAGAGTGCTGGCTTCCAGGGTTCTACTCCAGGGCCTCACAACTTTCCTGGGAGGCATATTGGAGGGGGCCCATGGGGTGGCCGCCCGCGAGGCCGCAAGAGACCCCTCAACAAAGTAAGTACCTCCAGCCAAAAATAAAAATCAGACACTGGGCAAAAGTTAACCCATTTCTGATTTCCCTCAATTTTGTTTTCACGTTTGACATAAATAGTTACAGTTCAGATTCCATCAAGCCCTTGAATACAACGGACTGTAGTCTCATGGAACTGCTCTGTTTGCACAGTAAAAGAGATGATTTATGCCTAATGCTTTCTTATTTAAGTACAGGGTGTTATTTGTCATTTTACCCCATGTAGTCCTGTGTATTTTAAAGAAAAATTAGCCGTGTGGAGTAGTATTCGTATCCTTTTATTTAATCAGGAAAATATCTCCTTGAGATTAAAATCCTCTTTTCCAAGAGTGACCTGGCCAAGACAGGAGTATTTGAACTAAAACGTTTGTGAGCCTGCTTTTAAACTTGCAGTGCAGGATTTTAACATGTACATTATTATTCAAATCATAACTCAAAAGAGGACACACAGTACTGTTCTGACCCATGGAGATCAAAATAAATGATGTTTCACAGTAGCAGAGTACAGCTACAGGAAAAACTTGTGAAACAAGCACATCTGATCTCATTTAAAATATGATGTTCAAAACAAAGTTTAGAATATGTAAAACTGAAGGTGGAGACAATAGTTCTGCACTGCAAGTTTGCACTTTGAATTTTTATTTTATTTTTATTTTTTTCTCTGCTGACTTGTTCAAACCTTTTGAGTGCAAATAAGTTGTTTACTGTAGCAGGTAAAACCTCAGCGTGATGTTCAGAAGAAGAGAAAAACTGATGAACCAGAATCAGTGACGAAGGAGACGGAGGCTGATGGATCAGAGACTGCAAAAGGTATCCTCCAAGTTTGGAGTGATGTTTTAGAACTTAATACCCAACAGTATTTATACTCTCGTGTGCCTGTCGTTTCTTTTAGCAGAAGAACCAGTAAAAAATGGTGATCAGAAAGCAGAGGCCGTCACTGAGGTGAGTAGGTGAAATTTGATGAGTGTTTGCTGCTGGCAGTGTGACCTTTCAAGTTGGTTTTCATAAACTGAGCTTCTCTGTTTTCTCTCATTTACAGGATGCAAAGCCTCCAGAAGAGGGAGCTACTTGTAAGCTTAACTGAAGTGACTTTCCTTCTTTGTTTTGTCTTATTTCCTCTTCTCTTAATTTAATACTATAGAATATGCCTGAGCTGAATTAGTTTGAATTGTGTTTTTTTCTGACTGTGCGTCTTGTGCTGCTGATCAGCTACGCCCAAGCAGGAGGAGAAGAAGAAACCTCAAGGAAAACAGACTCCAGCTCAGAGTCAGGAGAAGGAGGCGAAGTCAAAAGCAAGAAAGAGGAGTGGATTCCTGGACAGGTAAGGAAAAACTACAGATGATTAACTGTTTGTCTTGGGTTAGGCCTGTCACGATAACAAATTTTGCTGGGCGATTAATTGTCTCAAAATTTATTGCGATAAGCGATAATATTGCCTGGTGACCGTTTTACAACTAATAATTATAAAAGC